CTCACAACCTCAGAGGATATGAACCCATGACAACCAATCTGAGAAAGCCCTCATGTGCTACGTACTGACTATCATGAAAGCATGGAGAAGAAAGGTGTGAACTGCAAGACCCAGGAAAGATTTAACTTGGGAGGTAATATTTGCTCTGGATTTCGAAGGATGAAAAGATACTTAACAGGTATAAAAGAGAAAGGTATTTAAGGCAAAGGAAATAGTATATACTAAACTCCACCTAGCTTACTTTTCCATTCTTAGGACTTCCGTAGTTCATACTTACATTATGAACCTCACAATTTTAGTACTTACGGTTTAAACATTATTATGTCTCAGACTATAAACTTCTTGAGGCCAGTCTCTATACAGTTCTTCTTTTGAATCTTCAACCCCTAGCATAGTGCTGAGCATTGGGCACACAGTAAGGATCATGAAGATATTGACAGATGAATCTAATACTCTATGAACATTTATGGGTTTCTTAGTTTTTACAAGTAAAGGAAAGAAGCTAATACCTGTTGGCCACTGACTACATACCAGGCTTTACATTAAAGCTTTACATGCATTTCTTCATTCAGAGAAATTTATCAGACAGTGGGATGTTTTTGGAAGATGAAGGTATTAGGAAAAGCAGATTAACATAGACTTCAATATAATGAATCAGGAAAGATTGAAGAGGATTCCTCAGATGGAATCTGATCACTCACTAGGTTGTGAGGGGGAAGGAGAGAGAGAAGACATTTTGCTCTTGAAACCTCTCTTTTTATGAGTACCCAGTGGGTATATCATGCCACTGGCTAGTAATGATATCCATGCTTTATTGATTGCATTATGCTGGCATTTATCAGGAAACTCTTCTTAAAAGAGGCAATGTGACAGTTGAGACAGCAGGATCTTTTGAGTCCAGTGAAACTTCTCCACCCTGATTCTGCATGTTACTAAGCATGTGATATTAGGCAAGTTTCTTTTCCCTTTTTTTTTTTTTGAGACAGAGTCCCACTCTGTTGCCAGGCTGGAGTGTAATGGTATGATCTTGGCTCACCACAACCTCCGACTCCCTGATTCAAGCTATTCTCCTGACTCAGCCTCCCGAGTAGCTAGGATTACAGGCACCTGCCACTGCGCCCAGCTAATTTTTGTATTTTTAGTAGAGACAGGGTTTCACCATGTTGGTCAGGATCTCCTGACCTTGTGATCCACCCGCCTTGGCCTCCCAAAATGCTGGGATTATAGGCGTGAGCCATCGCGCCCGGCCTAGGCAAGTTTCTTAAGCTCTTGAAATTTTAAATTTCCTTAGCTATAAAATGGATACAATACCAGCTACCTCATAAGATATTAGATATAAATTGCCTAGCATACAAAAACGCTCAATAAGCCTCCCTTCCTTATTCTGCTTTCTCCCTATGTACAACCTATTAGACCTGAAAAATCTGGAAGTACTAGCCATGACCAATAAATAAGAAGTGCTTTTCTTTGGCAATATCCTATATCGCAAAAATTTTGTTTTCTCAAATGTCAAGTCCTGTTGATATTGTAGTGTCAGTTATTCGACATATTCTTGGAAGACTAACATTGTTTATAGATGCTTCAGTTTGCACACCTAAAAAAAAAAAAAATCCAGATAGAGAAATTGTCATTCCTTAATCATGAAGAACATCAACACAAGTCCCGAAATTCAGAGCTCCCTGGTTTCAATTCTTTTGCTTAAGTCACTAAATCACCTTTCTTCCCTCAATGCCAAAAAAGAAGTGTTTGTATAGAAGGAAATTAATATTCTCTTTCTCAGTTTCACCAAGAAGTACATTTATTATATGTTCAACAAAGTTGTATTCACTTTTCCAACTGAAAAACATTTAAGGGATTTCATCATATTTTGAGAAATTATTCATCAATCAGAGATTTAGCAGCCACCAAAAAGGACTCCACAATTAATCTTTTATAATATGGGTGTGACTTATAATCTCTACACTAAAAAAATTATTAAATGTAAGGGAAAACTGTTCATAGACCATAATATTTCTTGGCAAAGAAAAACTGCTTTGTGTTTTTAAAGATATGGTTGAGAATTTAAATGAAAGCTACATGCTTGAAATTAGTGCCAGATGCAACACAATTCAAGCACAATTCGCTAGCTGCATCAGATATTTCACTATGATTTAGTAAAAGGTATCCAACAATTCTACGTTTCATAGAAATTTCACAAATACAAGTATTTCATTCACAAAATGCATGGCTTGGCAGGCTTCCAGGGCAGGAATTTGCTGGAAGGAAGGTAAATTTATTGATTAACATAAATCAAAGGACTGACATTTTCCCTAGAAAACTGACAAAACAATAATCAGAAACTGAAGGTCTTACAACCAGAGAAGAGAAGTCTGAGCTATTATTTACATTTATTATAGGCATCCAGTAATATGATAAACAATTAGGTAGTTAAGAATTCTCAAATCAGCATTGAGAAACTTAATTTTAAAATGTTAGATATTTTTGAAGTAGGATTTTCCAAAAACCTTTGCTATGAAATCTGGTGTTTGTAAATCTTTGTAGTAGTTATCATTATATGCCACCTCTATACTTTACATTTATTAATATATGCACTAAATAGTGAGCATCCTTTAATGAGCTATATATAGAAACAAAAAACAACTCTTTTTTTTTTTTTTTTTTTTGAGATGGAGTTTTGCTCCTATCGTCTAGGTTGGAATGCAGTGGCGCAATCTCAGCTCACTGCAACCTCTGCCTCTCAGGTTCAAGCTTTCTCGTGCCTCAGCCAACTGAGTAGCTGGGATTACTGGCGTGTGCCATCACGCCCCAAAACTTATAGTTATACAAAATATAAGTTTTGCATTTTTACTAGAGATGGTGTTTCACCATGTTGGCCAGGCTGGTCCTGAACTGTTGACCTCAAGTGATCTGCCCTCCTCGGCCTCCCAAACTGCTGAGATTAAATGTGTGAGCCACTGTGCCTGGCCCCTGATCATCTTAAACATGCAAAAATTAATTCCTTCCTACCCCATGCCTCAGTTCTTCCCCCTCTGCTATCTCTTTCCCCATTCTGGTCACATTTCCATCATCAGCAATTGTTATGAACTGAATGTTTGTGCACCCCTAAAATTCCTATCTTGACGCCATAACCCACGGTGTGGCTGTATTTGGAGATGTGGCCTCTAAGGCAGTAATTAAGGTTAAATAAGGTCAGAATGGTAGAACCCTGATCCAACAGGATTAGTGTCCTTTTAAATACAGAGAGGAGACAAGGGAGAGCTTCCCCAACTGTGCACACAAAGAAGAGGTGATGGGAGCACAATAAGGCACGGGTGGCTGCCTACCAGGCAAGAGAAGAGGCCTCAAAATGAAACCGACTTTGCTGGCATCTTGATCTTAGACTTTCCAGCATCTAGAATTGTGAGAAATAAACTCCTGTTGCCTAAGCTACCCTGTCTGTAGTATTTTGCTATAACAGCCTGAGTAGGTGAAGAACAATTAAGAGGCCTAATGCAGTTACAACAGCACTCCCAGGCACACCTTTCTGTTAACCGTTTAACTTTTTAAAGATTTGGATTCAAGGAAAATCCTATTGAGAAGCTGAAGAGATTTGGCCAAAAGAGATTTATACAGATCCTTAACTCATTCAGCCTTGCTTCTACTTTAGACTCACAGACTGTGAACAGGAAAAGGGACCTCATCGATCCAAACTTGATTCAGGTTTTACTATGATTCTGGGGTTATAGAAAACTGCTCTCTAAACTTGGTGCATCTTCTGGAAGATGTTGGAGGTGAGATGGTGTAGTGGATAGTTAAGTAATAGGATTAGCCATCTGTTGATGCGAAACTGAGATATATTACTGAGTGCAACGCAAAATTTTATACATGTTTAGCCTGCTTTGAAGAAAGACATTATTGGTAATGTTAACAGCAAAAAAAAGCTAAGATTGAAAATTAGTGTGGGCCAGGTAACATGTTAAAGGCTTTATGTGTACGGTAGCCTTCCTTATCCACAGGAAATACCTTCCAATAGCTGCCTGAATCCTGGAATAATGGTGAACCCCATATATAATTTTTCAATCTGATAACCAAGTTGGCTACTAAGAGACTAAGAACCTGGTGGCATAACAACATACATATGCAGGACAAAGCGATGATTCACACTGCAGGAGGCTCCATCAGGACAGCCAGAATGGGCTTGCAATTAAACATTTGAATTGTTCATTTCTGGAATTTTCCACTTAATGTGTTTGGACCTGGGTTGACCCCAGGTAATTGAAATTATGCTAAGAGAAGCCACAGATGAGGGAAGCCTAGTGTATTTTCTTTCTTTTTTTTTTTTTTGCTTTTGAAACAGGGCCTGGCTCTGTTGCCCAGGCTTTTATTATACAATCATCACAAAATTAGCAAAAAGGCACACTTAATCTTATTCTTATTATAAAACACTATTTCAGAAAATGAAAATATTTCTAAAATAGCCCTATTCCCATCCCTATCACACGGGATATTTTATTTTCTTCACAGTACTTTTCTCGTTCATTTTTTTTTTTCCTTATTTTCTATGCTCCCCAAGCACCCACTTCAGGGCATAACACACTGTCTGCCACAAAAAAGAAAAAAGTTGGATCAAGCACCTGGACTCCATCACCAGATGGTAAGCGCCACGAGAGCAGGAGTCTGCCCGTTTTCCGCTAACCAGGGATTGGCAGGGTGTCTGGCACAAAGTGGGCGCCCAATAAGTAGGCGAAGAAAGAAAGAAAAAAAAATACATATATATATATAAAACGGAAGAGAGGGAGGGGAAAGGATGAATGAATGAAAACATTTACAGAAGGGCCTAAAAAGAAAGCACTCTCCAAGAGTCTCCCTCCCGGTGGCATCAACTCTCAGTTCAGTATTTGTGTCAGCCCTTTCCTCGCCTAGACGCAGTCGCCTACAGCAAGGAATGAAGAAAGAACAAAGTCTTTAAAATAACGCTCGAAGAAAGAGAAAAGAGAAAAAATAAGAAAGAAAGGAATTACCTCCTTCGGGCGTACTAAAAAGGGAAACCCCGCGAGGCCGGTTGCCCTAGCGACCTTAAGGCCAGAACGGCCCCAGCCCATTGGCTGAGACACAGGAGCCAATGAGAAGGCGCGATGTTGACTGGGGTCTTAAGATGGCTGCTGGGCTGCCGCTTCCTGACAGGTGAGTACGGCTTACGGAGGGCTGGTTACCCGGCTGCTTGGGCTCGGGCGTGATGAGTTCGGGAGGGCCTCTTGCGGGCAGCCGAGGGAGCAGGCATGGGCGGCCTCATAGTTCCTTGGCCAAGCCTTCTGGAGTAGGCTAGAAAAGCCCCCGGTCCGGGCCTGCGGAATTGACGGCGGGGCCGCCCTCCGCTTTCCTCGGAAGGGGAGTCGCAGCGTCCTCCCCAGCCTGTTAGTGGGAGGGAGTTTCTCAATCCCACCCTGGTTAAAGTGAGAGGACAGTGAGGAGGCTTTCGATTGGGGAAACAGGCTCGTGTTTACAGTTGCTGTATCCCGGAAAACAGCTCCAGTTAATGAGAATGCCAGCAGGCTAGACATCATTCGGAATCTGCAGCGCTTAGTTCTGTGCCCGGGAGGGGATTCTGCCTGTTCTGGGATTGGAGTGTGGCATTGCCGCCAGAAAGCCCGCAGAGTTCCGGGTTGTGCAGCCCTGCAGGAACAGGTGTACCTTCTAGACCCGTCCTCTTGCAGTCTTGGGCCTTGTAAGTATTTTAACGGTGGAATCGACTTAAAATGAGCTTTGAACTGTTAACTTGGTTTATTGTCTTTCCATGCAGGATCTTGGGTCTGGGGAAATTTTCTCCAGGCCTCAGGTAAGCGACCACTCTCTTTAATTAAAACAGTTGCATACATGCAGAATCTTGCTAAATAAGTAGTTTTTCTGGATAGGCCGATTGTCAACTTAAATTCGCTCTCAGGCCTGTGATTCAGTTGTCCTTTCTGTACCCTTTTTGAGAAAAGGAGAATATTGATTTCATAAAAGTAAATAGGATATTTACATTAATGTTGATGTTAGCATACTTGAAAATAGTAACTATTTTTAAGTCACAGAAACTTGATTATGATGTAAATTATTTAACAATCTAAATAATTGTGATGGCTTATGATTAGTATACAAGTGAAATTAATTTTAGATCAGACCAAGTTCAGGTTTCTGGGATTATTTCTAATCAAATACAAAATATGGTAAATAAGACAGCCTTATACAATGAAAATGGAATTTAAATTCTGGAAAGGAGCCAGAAAACATTTACTCATTGAGCTGCTCAAATATATCTTGTGGGTTTTGGTTAAAAGCAACTGCCTGGTTGTCCAGAAAATAGACATTATTGCTCAGACCTCTGACTGTGACTTTGATGTATGCAATGCAATTTAGTATAACATCTTACATAGCTTTCTGTACTCAAAAAGTATAGAAAAAAATTCTTCTTAACCAAATTTAACAAGTCTTTAAATGTAGGCTAAATCATTCTCAGACCCAGTCTCAAATTCTTGCCCCCACTTACAACTCTGCCCTTTAAAAGTTCATAATCTAAAGCCATGGGGCTCAATTTTTGTAAAACAAGTGGATCAGAATGTATTAGGCAGGTGAATTATTCCATCTGTAAGTTGGGGGCGGGGTGAGTAGGGGAGGGGTGGATATAGATAGGAATTCCCAGTGGAAGGGTTGTTGTGAAGACTAGTGGTAAACCAAGGCCTGCCACAGTGTTTGTATGTCATGTGTAACAGTGACCTGCTTTGTTTCCCCGTTCTGGTTCTTGTGTTTCCATTTGTAACTAGGGTTTCTTCCCCTTCTCAGTGTCCTGAAGTGTAGTGTCTCTCTGAAAACATCCTCTTGCCTGAGTTCCTAGGTAAAGGAGAGAAATCTTACCTACTGGGATACTGGGCTCCAATCAGGATTGCAGTCCTGGAGAGAATGGAATGTGACATCCAGGAATGAGGTGACACTGGGCATTTAGGGCACTTATAACATCAAAATCATAAAGAGACATTTTTACAGTTGTAAGACATCTCAGAGATCATTTGAGCAAACCTTCATTTTGTAGCTTAAGAATGGAGGCCCAGACAAATGCAGTGGCTTTCTCCTAATTATGTTGTTCAGGACTAGAAACCATCTTCCGACATTGAAGACCGTTTTCCCCTATAACCAGTGCACAATCTAGAACAGTTTTTATTATAATTTGATTTCTCCCTGGATGCTGTATTTTGAAAGATTGTGTCTACTAAACCATATTTATGAATGGTTTTTCTGATAAAAACCAGGCCTATAACTACCAGTGAACCTCTGATTAACATGTGGTGAAGAATAATGCTTCACTGAATTTGTCTTTTCCCATAAAGGCAAATGGTACTGTCTCACTGAGGGAAAAAATAAAAGTTTGAGCTTTTTGAAATTAGCTTAGAGACCCCTGTTACTGTATTCTTACTTAGATTAGGACCTACTGAACTGTATCCTGTTTTCGATTCATTGTTACCTGACCAACTATGCTAAATAATGACAATGGGTGATTTTCAAGGGCAAAAAAAAAAAGAAAAAAACCTAGTTATTCAGACTAGGACAGTATATAAATATTTTCAGTTCATGTCAAATTGTGTCAGCCCAGGACTAAAGGTATGTTCTGCATGGTACACATAGAATGTCTTTGAAAATAATTGTGGGATCGAATAAATCTTAACTCTAGAGGTGGAGGGTGTATAAAATGAAGAAGGTGGTATACAAAACCATAGAAAGACAAAGGATCCTGAGTCACTTACATTTTCCTTAGGGCTAAAATAATTATATTGAAAATTATTTGGTTGCAAGGTAAAAAAAGAAAAGAAAACTTATGATTTAATACATTGGCTGTTATATGGACTTGGCTATAATCTATACTAAAAAAATTAAGTTTCTGTTTCTCTGGTATTCCACGTCTCCTGAGACTGGCTGAGTGAATTTTCACAGTTAAAGGGTAATTTGGGATTATCTGCTTTAAAATAAAGAACTGTAATCTGAAAGGCATGAGTAAGAGACACTTCAAAGAAATAGAGAATCATCTTCCACAGCAGCCAAAACAGGAATTACAGGACACCTAACATGGTGCCAGTTGGAAACTTTGTGAGTGACAAGTATATGCTATGAATAGAAAGACTGTTTTCAAACATGAGTCCAAAGCAAAAGTCACTAAGCAGCCACTCCATATTGGCTGATCTGTAATTGGGCTGCTGCTTACACAGGCAACTCCGTTTTGCAGGCTCCGCAGTGAGTGGCAGCAGTTACCCGTGTTTATCAGTGACTGCTGAGTCTTCCTTGTTTTTTTTTTTTTTTTTTTTTTTTGAGGGTTGTGGGAAAAAAGTGGCACATGACTTTAAAGATTTTCAAGAGTGGAGTTCAGAAACATACCTGATTTGAATTTTGCCTGGATTTACTGGTGGATTCCATTTTTTTTTTTTTTTGAGTTATTTTAATCTTTTTCCTTTGGGTATACTCGAGAAATTATGATACCAGGCAGATGCCATATTGAGGACAGATTTTAATGCCACATCAGCAGGAGCTAAAAATATGTAATTTTGAGAAAATTTTAAAAGCTATAAAAATTCATAACTACTTGAAGGCTGATGAGCAACAACAACAGCAAAAAGCATGCCTTCTTCAGGGCAACTGAGACTGCTCCCCAGAGGGAAGCATGTTTGGGTGTCCAGAGCATAGACTGTCACCCTGCAGAGATGCTAAAACAGTGGTTTAGTGGAAGACCTGTGCACTGCCCATTGGAGAGGCATATGCTTTTCATGAGCAGTCACATCTGAAGTCCAGGCCAAGGAATACTTGACTCAAAAATTCAACAGAATCTTGCCATGTGTGCAGATGTCATTTCATGAGGCTAGAGATTTTTGCCTGTTTTATATACTTCTTTCCCCATGGTCTTGAAGAGTGTCTGGGACACAGGTGGGCATGTAAAAGATTTTATGGACAGGAAGGGAAACAGTTATTTCTAATATAGATCCCAGTGATGCTAAGAAATTTCTTACTAAGTCCTTAAATGATAATGAGCGTAAAGGTATACTGTATGCCCATGACCAAGTCATACTGTAACTTATTACTGCTTTCTTCCCCTTGCTCTCAGAACAGGAGAAATCTTTTTTTATTAATAGCATGACATCTGTTTTTCAATATTGGCATATTTTACATGATGTCTTTTGTGGTATCAGAATATCTCAAGAGTACTTCTGCTCCAACTTTAAAAATCCACAGACAGGTTTAGGGCTATATCTGGGTTTTATGGGGCCTGGAGCTTATGTAACTTCGGGTCTCTTCTTTTAAAAAAGAAATGCAATTTCTGAATAGAAACTAGGTACAGTGCTTTGGAAGGACCTGTGCAAATAAAGAACCTTGGAGCTTAAGGTTACCATTATCTTCCTGGTAATTTGCCTCTCATTTTATTGCTCCATTCAGAAAATGAAACACTAACATTTGTTATAGATACTTCACATCATACTGTGAATATCAAGGAAGCAAATGATTGCATCAGTTGCTAAGTGAGTGCACCACAAGTTTTAGAAACTTCAAAACTATCTTATGAACCCTGTCACCCATGATAGAAGTGATAAAAATGTAATACATGGGCACAGAAATAATAATACCAAAGAGAACTTAACATTTATTGAGCCCCTAGGACCTCCTAAACACTGTGTTGAGGGGCTTATCTCATTTAATCCTCAGAGTAACCCTATAAGCAGTATAATTATCCTTGTGTTACAGATAAAGAAATTGAGGTTCAGAGATGTTAAATGATTTCCTCATACCACTAGTAGTGGCAGAGTCAAGATTCTAGTTGGAGCAGTTAGATGCCAGAGTCCTTCCTCATAAAAAGCCAACAGAACATTTGGTGAGGATATTTCAGAGAGCCCCCAACTGATGAGCTGGACCAAAACCACAAAAAGTAAGATCTGATTCTTTGGACTTGGGAGGAGGTCTTTAAAAGGTAACAGAAATCTGTTATTGCAAAATCCCCAATGCGTTTGTCTCAGAGAGAATGGTAATTTTTTTTTAACCAGGTTGATCACAATATGGGACAGAAAACTGCAAAACAAATTTCCAT